TGCGATTATTGGGGGAAATGGGTGTGGTCCCTGAGGGGCGCTGTAAAGCTTCCTCACATAGGGCGCCTAAAGGCTAAGGCCTTTATAGGGCATGCCCTGGCTGTATCTGCTATTTCTGCATATTCTCTGACTCTGTGTGTGCTCTGTATGCTGTGTCTGTCCTCCGTGTGTGCTCTGTGTGTTCTGCGACTGTGTGTGCTCTGTCTGTGTGTGTGATCTGACTGAATGTGCTCTTTCAACATTTTTGCAGACTGTATGTGTGTTCAGACTGCATCTGCTTTCTGCCTGCCTGTTATTGTTGGCTTTTTTCTGCGTTGACTGCATGTGTGTCTGGTCTAACTGCACATTTGTCTGCTGCATATGTATGCAGGGCCGTCTTTAACGCAGGGCAAAAGGGGCAGTCGCCCAGGGCCCAATCATTGTTGTGGGGCCCAAAGCAGCTGCCCCTTCAGCCCACATAAGATAAACACATGCACGGCTGGCAGCCTCACCTGTGTAGGCAATGGGGCTTGCACCAGCCCTGCCCCCTGTCTGTATACACAGCATCGGTGCTCTACAGACAGGAGGCTACATACAGCAGCATAAACGTGGCTCTGGGCTCCGCCCACTATCAACTCGGCCCCGCCTCCTGCTCTCCGTTCTCTGCTCTCCTGTGTTGTCTGGGGCCCTGCTGGGAGCCCACACTGTGCCCTGAGGTGTCACCCCCACTGTGTCCCCTCCTGCCTCCCCTCTCTGGACCTTCACACCAAGTAAGGGCTCAAATATGCCACAGTTTATGTATGCAACAGATACATATACTGTGTGCAACACATACATATGTAGAAGCAGGATTTAGAGTTTTTAAAGAAAATGTAATTATCAAGTTCTATGTATGGCTGCAGCAAAGCTTCCTGTACTCTCAATACTAGGGATGCACCAATAGATAATATTACAAACAGGATCTGTGCTATGGAACAACAAACCCCTAAGCTGCCATGCTAAAAAACTGTTCTCTCCCATGTGTGTCTCTCCTCTCTCTCTCCTCGTTCTCTCTTGTTTATTCTAAAAAAAGTTGCAGTGTGGTGCTAGACTGTTCGGGATTCGCTTGAAGAAAAAGCAGCAACCCTTGCAGCACCATTCTGTTTACTATGCGTTCGGCATCACATAGTGTTGCCCCCACCTCTTCCGTATGCTGCTGTTAGGGCCGGGGGGGGGGCAAGAAATTGTTTGCTCAGGGTCCAATCAGTATTAAAGACGGCCCTGTATGTATGCATGTCAAATCTTGCTACATGTACAGCATATGTGTCTTTATGCTATTTTGGATTCAGCCATTGGCGTGTTCTGGAGTCAGGGCGCTTGTGTGTGCTTTTACTGCATGTGTGTCTGGTCTAACCACACATTTGTCTCCTCCATACGTATGTACAATATGTACTGTATGTCTAATCTCTGTATGTTTGCTTTAACTTCATGCGTGCCTGCTCTTGCGGTATGTGTCTGCTTTTACTATGGGGTCTATTCACGAAGCACCCGAAGGATCTAGCCGTAGCTTCGGCCGTTCCTTCGGCTAGCTTCACCCAATAATCGCACCATTTAAAGACTCCTATTTTGTTAAGCCGCATATTAAACATATTAAAAAGTATGATAAAAATAAAACTTTTATTCAAAGGTATTAAACTTGTAGGCACAATATATGTATTCTTATCAAATAAAACCACAGAAGGCAAACAATAAATGTCAAACTACAATAGAGGCAAACAATAAAGTGTCAGGATGTCATGCCAACCCTTTCTTCAAGTAGGTGCATCTAGAAAAGTAAAAATAGAAAACAGAACACAAAACCTAGACTACATGTAAACTAATGAATTACTATTTGCCAGAATATACGAAATATGTATTTGGGCACATAATAATTTGTTTGAGAATGTGCGGCGGCCATGTTGGCCACCGGTGTGTTCTGTGAATGCGTGCCACCATCTTGGAGGCAGGGAGCATGACGTTACATGACGCCATGCATGCATTTTGGTGTATACCTAGATATACACCAAGATGGCGGCGTCCAACACATGCGGTGTTATATGACGTCATGCGCCCTGCCTCCAGAACATGCCAATGGCTGAATCCAAAATAGCATAAAAAAGTACATCGGCTTGCTTCGAGTGGCTTTGGGTCGGCCGAACATGCTCAGCATGTTCAGCTGACCCAAAGTGCAGAAGGAGTTCGACTCAGCCGATCCAACATCTGGATCGGCTGAGCCGAACCTCCGGCAGGCTTCTCACTGCTGTTCGGGCTATTCTTAAAGATGCCGAACAGCAGTGA